GGGGGTGAGTATATATATATGTAGAGTGTGGTGGGGTCACCTGTAGCGTGACATGAACCCAAGATCCCAGTTGAGGCTATCCACAAACCAAACTTGGCTATTAGCCTCAGCTCGGCTATTCTGCGTTGTCGTGTATCCCAAAGTCCGCCTTGGAGGGCATTTACCCGAAGATCCGAGGCCGAATATCCTTGATCACTGAAGTGTTCCCACAATGGGAAGGAACATTCCTGTTTGGCGATTGTTGCATGGTGTCCATTTATCCGTTGTCATAGCATCTGCATGGTTTCTCTAATATACCATGCCCCATGTGTCCATGTCAAAGATCTGACAATGTCTTGCAGAGGTTGCCATGGCAGGGTTGTATAGTGTTGTGGTCGATGTTGGCCTGAAAGCTGAGTAGTTTGTTGCGAACAATGGTCTGTTTAAGGTTTGTCGGTTGTTTGGAGGCGTGGGGAAGATCTTGGTGAGGTGCTCGTTGTCATCAATAATGTATTGAAGGCTGCAAAGAACATGGCGTAGTTTCTCCGTCCCAGGAAGTATTGGAAGATGAAGAGCACCCTATCGGACATATCCCATGTCTGTCTTCTGAGGAGGTCATTACGGTTTTTCGCTGTGGCACGTTGGAACTGGTGATCAATGAGTTGAGCATCGTTTACTGTTCCTATGAGGGCATCCTTCAACACCTTCAGGCGTCTGTCTTGCTCCTCCTTATCCAAACAGATTCTGTGTACGTGTAGGGTTGTTTGTAGGGAATGGCTGTTTTAATACATTTTGGGTGGAAGTTAGGGAAGTGCAGCATCATGAGGTTATCCATGGGCTTGTGGTAGAGTGATGTACTGAGGTGTCCGTCCCTGACGAAGTTGAGAGTGTCCAAGAATGAGACTGATTATAAAGAGTGGTCCATGGTAAGTCTGATGGTGGGATGAAACTTGTTGATGTCGCTATGTAGTTGTGTCAGTGATTCCTCACCATGAGTCCAAAGGAAAAAAATGTTGTCAATGTATCTGGTGTATAGCATTGGTCGGAGGTTCTGTGCAGCAAAGAAGTCTTGTTCGAACCTTTGCGTGGAAATGTTGGCATATTGGGGTACAAATCTGGTCCCCATGGCTGTTCCATGTGTACGGATGAAGAACTGGTTGTCAAAAGGTGAAGACGTTGTGGTTGAGGATGAAGCGGGTGAGTTGTAGGATGGCATCTGGAAATTGGCAGTTGTTGGTATTGAGTACTGAGGCTGTTGCAGCGACGCCATCATTGTGGGGGATGTTGGTGTAGACTGCCGAAATGTCCATTGTGACGAGGAATGTTTCTGGTTTGACTGGTCTGTGGGTGCGGAGTTTCTTTAAGAAATCTGTACTGTCGCGACAGAGGCTGGGGGTTCCCTGTGTAGCAAGTTTTAAGATGCCCTCGACGTAGCCAGAGAAGTTCTTACACAGGGTCCCATTGCCTGATACAAGGGGACGTCCCGGTGGTTGGCTTTGTGTATCTTTGGAAGGCAGTAGAAGTCCCCTACGCAGGAAGTATGTGGCATGAGAGTGCATAGGGTACTCTGAAGGATTGGATCAAAAGTCTTGACCAGTCTGTTCAGTTGACGGGTGTGTTCCTTAGTTGGATCGGCAGGTACTTGTCTGTAGTGTTCCTGGTTGTTCGGCTGTGAGTACGCTTCCTTGCAGCAGTCCGTTCTATTCTCTATGACGATGGCTCCTTCTTTGTCTGTTGGTTTGATGACAACGTTGTGATTGGTCTTGACAGCACAGATGGCATTGCATTGTGCCTGAGCCAGTGTTCACACATTCTCTGATGGCTTGAGCATACCTATCAAGCCCCAGGCAACGGCCCTCTGGAGGGGTCCAATTCGACTCCTTTGCCTGCTCCCCCCATGGATCTCTCTGTCAACTGATCCGGCTCATTGGCTGTATCATTGGGCTCGCTGCTGACATCTTGGAAGAATTCCCAGAGTCTCATTCACCTGATGAATTCCTTGGTGTCAGCCGTGAGACCAATTGGGTCCAATTTGGTGGTGGGGCAGAAACTGAGTCCTCAGCTGAGAACTTCGATCTTGTCCCATTGAAGGCTGTGGTCAATTCAGTTGACGTTTGATTTTCCCGTGGTGGTACCGCCTTCAACTGTGGTACCAGGGGAGACTTGGTTATTGCTGGTGGTGATGCTAAGTTTCTCCAGTTTTATGTTCTTGGTATGCATTAGATGGTGTCGTTCTGTTGCCTCGTCTGTTTGGCAGTGTCTCATAACTGTGCTGCTGTCTCCTGAGTGCAAGCTGAGAATATGGACGCTATCTCGATTTCAAGGTTACGGTGAATGCTGTAGAGTTGCTGTACAAGATGATTGAGGAGTTTGAGAGAGGTGCAACGGCAAAGTCTCTCTCACTGTAATCAGTGCTGTAGGTCGACTTGAGCGATCTGTAGTCCTTTTGGGATCTTTTGTGCTTCCTTGCATTTCTGTAGGAACTTAATGTCTGTGTCGATATGCACGATCTTCTTGGAGATCCTCTCCACATTGAGCTGGCAGTCGGTGGTGTCGGTGGTAGCCCTGAAGTGGAGGTGCTAGTGTTGGACTGGGGTGGACAACGTCAGAAATCACATGACTCCAGGTTATAGTCCAACAGGTTTATTTGAAATCACAAGCTTTACATATACATATTAATCAATTGAAACCTTCTAACTATCAACTAACTTCTAAAGATTTAACAGCATCTTGGGTTTGTTTAGCACATCCTCATCAACGGTGTGAACCTTTGATCTTTTATTTATAAATTCTGCGTCTGATACAACCTCTCTCACTAACACCTGAAGAAAGACTGAGGGTCTGAAAGCTTGCGTTTTCAAATAAACCTGTTGGACTATAACCTGGTGTCGTGTGGTTTCTGACCATTTCCAAAAGTGGCAGCTTTAAGCTACCAGGGAACTTTAGTGTCAAAATCATTCTTTCTGACATTCAGATCCATCATGGGTGAATTACTCTGTTTAGCCACAAGTGGTGCTAGTGAGCTGTGCACTTGTTGAGGACAAAGGCACACAGAAAAAAATTTCAATTTACTAACTTTCCACTCACTTGTTAGTTTGACAATGATTTTTTCTCTAAAATGAAATAAAACAGATCCCCTCCAAAAGTAGAAGATTTCCGGGTAGCCCACTGGAATGTGAAACCAATTAGTTTAATTGTGAATTCAACCATAGATCAGTAAATGGTCACTGCAATCTGTGCTGGGGCTTTGGAGATAATTATGCCTTGTTTCTTATTCTGTATGGAAGGGTGGTTGACCTTATAATAAACAGAGCATGCAGTAGACAGTTCAACTCCATAGTGATAAGATGTATTTAGGGTACACAGTTCCACGCTCAATCATTCGATTTTGTATTTGTAATCTCTTTGAGGAGGGCCATTAACAAAGGGAAAATTTAGATTGGATCAGACTAGATTATACCCCCCAATGACTCTCTATACTGGATAAGCCCAGCAAACTGAAAACAGTCAGAAATCTTACACATCCATTCCTTTGGGTGTAAAAAAGTAACAATAGGAACCAAAGAGCTGTTAAAATGCTTGCTGTGCTAACAGTTCAAGTGGACAAGTCGTTGACCCAAGGGCTGCATCATCCAAAGCTGAATGCAACAATTTACCTTATAGATACTAGCTCCATTTTTAGTATCCTCAGGATAAGTTGACTTTTTCATAGAATACGGTTTCAGCTCATTAAGATCATATTCTAAAAAAAAATGTGATCTGAGTGCAATAACGCAGCAACTTAATGGCAAATAATTATTTGTTAAGCATAAAGACATCTTGAAGCTTTAGCAAAACTTTGAACTATAAAATGCCTTCCTTTCCTTCAAGTTATTTGTAAGAATCAGTGATTGCTGTTATAATGTTGGATTGTAATGTTCAGTAATAGTATAATAAACTAATGTTCACATATAGTATAATAAACTTGTTGTCAATTAGGGAAGTAAACTGCCATTCTTACCTGGTCTGGCCTACACGTGACTCCAGACCCACAGCAATGTGATAACACAGTGTGGAGCTGGAGGAATACAGAAGGCCAGGCAGCATCAGAGGAGCAGGAAAGGTGATGTTTCGGGTCGGGACCCTTCTTCATTTCTGAAGTTCTTACTATCTCACAGCTATGGGTTGGCTCTGAACTGCCCTCTGGGCAACTGGGGATGGGCAAGAAATGCTGCCTAGCCAGTGACACCCTCATCCCATCAATGAATAAAAAAAAAGACTGGCTGCAAATACAGTAATAGCCTTGAAAATTTTCCATTATATCAATGATGTAAAACCTGAAGTTTAGGGATTAGTTATTTCTTGGGTCCTTACCGATCATAGTGAATACTGCATGTGAATGAAACTTATTTAATGAATGTTTCATCACATCCACAATGAATAACAATTGGAATGGCAAATGTTTGTGAGTGATTGCTTTGTTTGGTCAGAAATCATTAGATTAATTCTCTCTCTCCCTCAAGAATTTCTGGTAATAAACAATGTTAGTACTCCAAACACAAAAAATGTTAACCGACCTAAATTGGATTTATTAGTTTTCCCGTCATTTGTAGAATTTGTTTGAAATTTAGGATGCAATAATACATAGTTTAGAAACATATAAACCATTTTCAAAGAACAACAAAAGCTTTATATGTCCTTGACTATGAGACGAAACAGACTGTACTGACAAGAACATTCATTAAGGGTGCCAGAGAATTCCTTAACCCTTGGCTTTATCTCATCTCATCATCAACGAACTGGGTCCATCATCTTTGTTTGACAATACCTCCTCCAGCTCTTCTAATGATCAAAACCATATTTTTCTGTTCACTGAGCTTGACAGTTGTTCATATATAACATTGACAAAATCCACTAAGAAATACTTGGCTAAATTGAGCAAACTACTCCAACTGAGTTTATGAGATAGTAGGAACTGCAGATGCTGGAGAATCTGAGACAACAAGGTGTAGAGCTGGATGAACACAGCAGGCCAAGCAGCATCAGAGGAGCAGGAAGGCTGACGTTTCGGGCCTAGACCCTTCTTCAGAAATGGGGGAGGGGATGGGGATTCTGAAATAAATAGGGAGACAGGGGGAGGCGGATAGAAGATGGATAAA